TTATATATATATATATATATATATATGTTCTTAAACTTATTTTTCTTAAAACATAAAACAGTAAATAAAGAAGTAAAGCAAACAGTTATTTCTTCTATTTATGACCTTTGTATCCGGTAAACAAACCATAAACATTCATTTTACAGAGAAGGCTACATCAGTTTAAAAATACATTGATTAGTCAGAAGCATTTTCATTGTATCAGTAAGTCTTTTAAAAATGAATGGTCCTAAAATTGTATACAACATTGATATCAATATTACATGGTTGGATCTTTTACAGCTTTAAAGTACTTCATTTTAACTTCTCTGAGAAATAATGAATTGTACACCCTCTGACAACCGATAAAAATAATTAAAAATACTTATCCCACCTTCATTTGATAGTAGGACATTTGAAGAAGCTAACAATGCAAAAACTTTTCTTAATTCATAAATGTTTCATATCATACTATCTATTGTATTAAATTTGTACTAAAATGGAGACTTGATAATCAGAGAAGAAAAAATGTTGGTTTCATAGGGAGCATGAAGATGAGAAACAAAGGAGCAATAAAGATGATGGTCATAGCAGAAGCCGATCACCTAGTAAGAGTCGTTCACCTTCTCCTGAAAGTATGAAATGCAAAAGTCGAAGCCCAAGTGAAGAAAATGTTCACGAAGAGAAAGGGGTATGTTTATAAACTTTCAACAAAATTTGAAATAATCATGAAACTGTATATTTCATGTATGTTCATAATTACTTATTTCAAGTATTGTTATTTAAAAATTATTGTTTCTGTACATTTTTACTATCATTAGTCATTAATTAATATTATATATGTGAAGAATGAAGATGATAAGGAGTGGGACAACTGCTCAAGAAGTAGAAGCCACAGTGTAAGCAGATCTCCAGATAAAAGTCCAACTATTCATAATCATAAAGACCAGAATGACGATGGCGATGCTGGCAGTGAACAGAATGACAGACAGGAATCGACTCCTTAAGAAATTGTTTATTTGTTTTCTTTTATGTCCACTTGTTAACTTTATTTGTTTTGTATCTATTTTTGAACTTAATTGACTAGCTGTATGTATAAAATAAGTTACATTATTCATCTCTCACTTGTGTATTTTTCCTTGAAAAAGACAAAAAATATAAGTTTTTTGACATGTGTTCATTATAATTTCTGAAATATATTGTGGTTTTCTAGACAACTAAATAGATGCATGTTTTGTGCTACAATCGTAACAATGTTTCTAAAAATCTTAATGACATTAAAACATAATCATTGTTAAGCAGGCTTTAATCTTCATTGTGTTTTACATTGTATTCTTAGTTTCTGACCAAAGAATGGGATTTGGGAAAAATATCTTGATCATTTCTAAGGTTGCATGATAAATTTTATGAATTTGGTTTACTGTAGCTTGAAATTGTAACAAGTTAAAAGAAATAAAGGTAATTTTAACAGTAGCAGCGTGTGTTTGTAATTATTCAGTTAGTCTGTGTTGGTAATGCACTCAACCACTTTTCACTGATGCTGAATAAATTCACTGTTAATATTGAAGTATTGGTAAATTGGCATATTCATTCGTCACATGTTTATTGACATTGATACATAAAATAATTTCAATCAAAATGCTATCCTGATCACCCTACTCAGAATACAGTAAACTTTGTTCTGTTGACAACTTGATATATGATAAAATAAGACAATCACAAATACTAACTCGTTACTCGCTTTTCTGGACTCACTACTTACTTTGCTTGACTTGCTACGAACCCTACTATTTTATGATGTGTTCTGAACAATCATTAATAATCTTAGTTTTTGAAAATAATTAGAGTCAACAATTAAATATGATTGGATAGAGCATTGTATAATTTCGTTTTGTCAGTGTAAGGTGGTTGTAGCAGAAACTTGTAGTTTCTTGATATAATGGTTGCCCAAAGTTTCTGTAATGGTGAACAGGTGAATCTAATGGATAGTTTAGGACACCTTGGAACAAACCACAGATTTGGGTTAAGTTTTCTGTATTCAAACAGAGCACACAAATAAACTAACTTAATATTTATTTCAGCAAAACTGTTTATTAGATAAGAACTTATACTTACCAAGAGTTTTGTTAGCAAAAATTGCAATACATAGCCTAACAAAAGTAACAGTGACATTGTTTTAATAAGTAAGGCCATACGCTACAGATAAACCTTTGTCAGTTTTTACCAAGTTTTTATAATTTATAGCTGAAAGTGGTGATCTGCTGTAATTTACAAAAAAAATATTTTAATAAATAACAATGAAGTTAAGCTGACTAAATATAAAAAATGGAACTTTCTGATCAACAAAAATTAGATTCTAAGATAGTATTTTTAACGTGTTTCAAGAAAAAGTATCTTACAATATATTTTTTTCACGATGGAAATCTTAATTCAAATGATAGAATTTCTTTTAATCAGAAACTGCATATTATTTAATAAGTTTGTACTAAGGTTTGTGAAATTTGGTTAAGTATTGTCACTTTGAGAAGGAAAAGAACTGGGGGATATTAGTAAAACCCCTCTGACCCAAAAAATGGTTCATAATACCCTTACAAGAAAGTGATATGCAGTCTACCAGTCTTCTTTGAAGAGAAATGATGCTTTGAAAGTGAACATATATTGTGATTACCTTTAAAAAAATTTTAAATTTTTTTGGTCTGCTTAGCCTAACATTTTTAGATTTTTACATAACGATAGCAGCATTAAAAGTAATCTGCTAAATATATCTGTAAAACATAAATATTAAATCTATATAGCAAAATCAATATATTTCAAATGATTCTTGATATATTTTAAAAACTAAATAATAGACTACGAAAAACTTCATTAAAGTATAAAAGATAAACCTTTTCAGCATTTGTTTGTGGATAACTTGGTTTTAAGTCATGCTGTAACACTAGTAATAGTGTTCTGCAAGAGGAAGAGTTGCTTGTACGCTTAGTTTACAAGTAATTCTTAAATAATTGCTGATTGTATGCTTAGTTTACAAGTAATTCTTAAATAATTGCTGATTGTACGCTTAGTTTACAAGTAATTCTTAAATAATTGCTGATTGTACACTTAGTTTACAAGTAATTCTTAAATAATTGCTGATTGTATGCTTAGCTTACAAGTAATTCTTAAATAATTGCTGATTGTATGCTTAGTTTACAAGTAATTCTTAAATAATTGCTGATTGTATGCTTAGTTTACAAGTAATTCTTAAATAATTGCTGATTGTATGCTTAGTTTACAAGTAATTCTTAAATAATTGCTGATTGTACACTTAGTTTACAAGTAATTCTTAAATATTGCTGATTGTATGCTTAGTTTAAAAGATTCTTAAATATTGCTGATTGTACACTTAGTTTAAAAGTATT